GCCTTTTTACTTAACTCTTCCTGCTGCCATAAAATAAAAAAGCTGATTGTCACAGTGAATAAAAAAATAACTTACATTAGCGGTTACATCTCCATGTCTCTTCTGCTTTGGCCATGCCATATATATTGCTTGAGAACGATTGAGGATGGACACATGTATGGAAAACTAGTTCAAAAAGAAGGCAAGGTGTTCTTAATGTTGATGGTTTCTGCTTCCTATTTTCCTTCCATTTCTTTTCCATGTGAAGACTTGCAGGGCATGACTGCCCAATAAAGCAACTATAAGCAAGATAGGGTGTGGATACAATGAATCATTTATATATAGTAGTTGCACAGCTACATACTCCCTGTAAATACAAAAGAGATTAATTGCCTTCCTATTGTAGAATAAACTGCCCTTACACATTTATAAACTTGAACATGAGCCATGAAAAGCCACTGCCATGATGACTCAATCTTACAAGTTTTTAATAGTTAAAAAGCCTTTTTCCAAGGAAGGCTGCCATGACAGTTGCTTTCTTATCTGGTCTTAGGTTTTTAGATTCCTTTTGTTTTGATGAAGAAAATTAATTCTTTTACTAGAATGGCAAAAATAATAAAGAAATTCTCTTCCAAGTCTGAATTAAACTGAAAGCTGTACAAATAATTTGGGATCTGCATATAATGCTGGGAATGAAATCTAGCAAGAGCTCTTAGGGCGAAGTTTTGAGATCAGGTGACCCTGTTCTGAGTAGGTAGAGGATATGGATTGGATCACTCCATGTGGATGCAGCTGCCATGGTGTTTGAGTGTTACTGTTCAGTGACTGTGTGGTGACATGTAGCTTTGCAGAGACAGTCTAATCAGAGCTTTACTGTAAGTGACACAGGAGTGCTTTCCTGAGGGTGCTGCACCATCCTGGCTCTCGGTAGTCAGTAAAACAGCGGGGCACTCGGCAATGCAGGGACTGACTTCTGGTCAGTGCTAGTCCTGTGCCACGTAGCTGTTTAGAGTTCTGTTCATTGCTTTGAATACTGTGGACCATATTAATAAATATCTGCTACTTCTTCTAGGTGTGATGACTACTTCTATATCAAGCACCGTGGCGAGCGAAGAGGGATTGGAGGCATATTCTTTGACGACGTGGACTCTCCCTCCAAGGAGGAAGTGTTCCAGTTTGTGAAGAGTTGTGCCAAAGCTGTTGTGCCTTGTTACATTCCCATTGTGAAAAAGCACCGCCATGACTCCTTCACGCCAGAGGAAAAGTTATGGCAGCAGCTTCGGAGAGGACGGTGAGTACTGAAGGAGCTAAAGAATACACAGGAGGTGGATTATGCTGGCGAGAAAAAAACTGAGCTAGTTCTTTATGGTTACAGGTTAATGTCCTGTTGTAGTGTGGGCTAAAAAAGCTCACCAGAGAATTTCAGCATTTTTGTGCACAGAACTAGTTATGAAATCCAATGCTAAGTTCCCAAAAGGGGTGCAAAGAAAGTAGTAGCACGCCCTTATCGGTATTTCCCACCTTCCCATGTTAGAATACAAGCAACACAAACAAAATGCCACAGTTTCTCTCCAGCTCTTTCAAAAACCAAGAGAAGCTGCTGCTGTGCAACAGGCAAAGGGGTATGGGTGTGCTTGGCGTCCTGAATCCTGCCCTCTCCTGCAGCCCAATCATATGAAATATAGGACTACCCTTGTCACATGAGGAGCCTGAGGGTGAGGGAATTGTGCTTCCTATTCAGTAATGAAACAAAACTTCACAAAGTCAAGAAGTAACTGTGCTCAAGTACCTTCACCTTCTTACATACATATTTGTTCCATCTGATCTTGGCATTGAAATGAGGATTCCTGTAAAGGAGTCGAGATACAGAGGGCTGGGTTTTTTTATTCTGGCATGGTCCAAAGTTGCTGCAACTTAAAAGACTTTGGAGGATGCTTCTAATGTGCCAACTGTTAACGTTGCAAAAGCTTAAGTACACTGGTCAATACAGTTGTACTCCATTCCGTGTGTCCTGTGATTGTGTAAGCACATGGAGAAATGAGAACACATGTGCTTTGTGCAGAAGTAGGGTCTTCAGTTTTTGTCTCTTCTGCAGAGAAATCTGTGAGACTGGCATGGAAAGAGTATAAGCATTTAAGTTTAGATCACTGGCCTGCAGCCATTAGTCCGATAAGCAAGCGTCCTTAATTTGGTGGGACTGTTCCTGGGAACGTGGGGCTTCCAGGATCCAGTCTGTGGATGGGATTTAGCAAACCTGCTAAGTTTATAAGGGAGGACGGCTTCTTTAAGCTGCAGCCAGAACCAGCTCTTAAGGCCTGCCTATTTCCCTGTGTCTGTTTGCAGGTTGTTTGGCTAGGTAAAGCTTTCCATTTTTGCAGATAGATAAGAACTCTTCCCTTCCTGTATCTCTGTTAAATACTAACACGTCTGTACTAGCTATTAAGATCATCCCTGATGAATTGTCACTGCTCTGTTCCTATGCTGTGGGCAGAAAGTGGTATATTTTGGTATTACAACTACCAGACAGCACTCTGAAGCTGTTTGACTTCTGCTTCTTTCCAGATCTCCCCAAGAAACAAAAAATACTGTTCAGACCTTACACATAAGCATGTGTCCTTCAGCATGGAGGATGGCACAGTAGAATTCTTTCTCTGGTTATTCTCAGTTCCTTTAAGGCCCCTCTTTATGTCTGATGCCACTACACAAAAGAGAATAACCAAGTTAAACATGGTGTCGAGCTTGTCAGCAGGGTTGAGGCCTGGGAGAAGCATAGCACAGTACAACAGCCTGCAGAATGCTCTCTTTGAACAGTTTGTCTACTCTAGTCTGCTTGCTAAGGTCACTACTCCCTGTGCTTTGTGGAGTGGCAAGGTGATAATTGCATTCCTGCAGAGGATGCTAAAGAACAGTTCACTTCAAACCAGGGTTCATTCTGACGCCCAGCAGAAAGATAGGCCGGTTTTGTTTGATGTCTGCTAGTTGAAGAAGGCACAACCAACTTCTGCTAATAAACTTGTTTTTTCTTTGCATCTCTTCACTCCCTGTAGGTACGTAGAGTTCAACTTGGTTTATGACAGAGGTACAAAGTTTGGCCTCCTGACACCAGGATCAAGGATCGAAAGCATTCTTATGTCTCTGCCCCTGACTGCAAGGTAAGGGTGTAGCTATGTGGGATTGCAGGCAGGTTACTGGTCTTCTTAAAATAGTTAATAGGATTAAATCAAAGGTCTGTGTCATGGTGTCCCATCACTTTACAGTGGCTAGTTCATGCCTGATACAAGAACTGCCCAAATACATGCAGATGCTTCTCTGGTCTCCTACACTCACCTAGTTGCCATTAGTGTGTGGCTGAGATATTTTCTGACAAAAAAAGGGATAATTTTTCTGCTTAGTACCTCTTGATAGATTTTTCTCTCCTTGCTCCATGGATTTTTGTTTAGTAGCTCTTTGAAATCATGTGAGATTCTGGCAGTCCTGACAAACGTGTGACAAGGAGCTTCATAGTTTAACTGTGTGTTGTATGAAAAAGTGCCTCTTCATTTTCTACTTGCCTCTGATGACTTCGTTTGATTTTTCACTGAGTAACATGATTTTCTTGCTGTTCTGTTTCTCCATAACTGTTCTTATTTTACAAACTTCTGTTTTTTCATTGACAGTTTTCCAGGCTAACGATTCCTGGTATTTTTAGTCTTTGTACAGTCACTGTTCCATCCTTTTGATCACATTTGCCACTTTCTCTAGGCTTACATTTTCTGTGCCCTTTCTGAATTAGGGATAAGGAACCAACACCATAAGATACATATGTGTATCCAAGATCATACAGTGGCATAATGAAGTTTTAATTCATTATTCCTTTCATAATCCTAATATTATGTTTGCTGGTTTTGACTGCTGCTCAGCATTAAGCTGGCTTTTTCATAGAACTGTTACAATGCGAGAGTCTTTTCTGGGCAATAAAATTGAACTCAAATTTAACTCAATCTGTATACAGCTTTTTCTGTGTCCATCACTTCACACCAATCAACAGTGAATTTCACCTGCCATTTTATTGCTCAGTTGCTTGGCTCAATACTAACTGTTTTCAACTGCTTTTTTTGTTTTAACCCATCTTGCTTACTCTTGCAATATCAGCAAATTCAGTCACTTACTGTTTACCCCCATTTTCAGGTTGCTTTTAGGTAACACTGAGTAGCACAGACCCTATCATGAATTCCATTAAGTTCACTAGTGACCTCCTTCTGCCTCCTCCCTCCCTTTGCCTGCTGCCCCTTAACCATGAAGGCAGTCCTGTTCTCACCATATACCTTCATCCCACTGCCAACACTATGTAAGTCCCTGATGTGGTGGTGTAGCACACTCCTATCTTCTGATTTCATTTCTAGGAGTATTTGGTTTTGCTTGTTTTCATCAGTGTAAATAGCTTGCTTCACAGCATGAATGGTTCCTTCCTGGGGAAAAAATGGAAAGAGGGTGTACCCATCTCTGACTGCTGATGCTTTCTCTGTCATGCCTCTTTTAATTGCCTTTTCACTAAAAAAGTGATCTTTCATCACTTTTGTTTTTAAAACCAAGATTAAACAAGGACTTGTAGAGCTTACAGTCCATATTCTGGAAAACCTAAATTTTGTGTCCTCACTGTGAAAATTCTATGGGTTCCTTTTCTACTCATCTTCCTTGTGATGTTAGTGTGTCACAAGAGACTGCTAGAAGATTTTTGCAAATCAACCTGCATGCATTTTGGGGCAAGGGGGCATTGCTCTTCCCTTTTTCCTTGTTCTTCCAGCTTTTTCAGAAGTTGGTAAAAAGATGAAGCTAACATTTTTCCTGTGTACCCCCCTGTTAATAATATTTGTTTTTACTGAACTTATTGTTTTTACTGAACTTACATATCTGTCTCCTGAGCTGAGTATCAACTGTGTATTTAGCTTTGCATGCCCAAAAAAGGCAACTCCAGTCCAAATACCGCCTGGTCTGGGAGAGGTGGCAGCCAGCTGAGCAGTCTGAGTGAGTTTCCCCTTTCCCTGCAGGTGGGAGTACATGCACACCCCGCCAGAGAGCTCCAAAGAAGCAGAAATCCTGGAGGTTCTGCGAAATCCCAAAGACTGGGTGCACTGACACGGATCATGAAGAAGATGGATTGCTCACACTGAGCCATTTGAGAGAACGGGAACGCCTGCAAACCAGCTCGTTCGCACTGCTGTTGCATGGCGTTTCATTGTGTCTATTTATATCTTGCCTGGTGCCTTAATTATGGTGTAGACTTGCAAATATGTGAACTCACTCTTTTCGATTGATGGGCTAATATTGTCACCCCCTGTTGCTGTTGCCTTGTGAAGGACTGGTGATGGCCTCACAGGGCTACTGTGCATGTTTTAGGACTTTCTCAACTCATGTGATTGACTGCAAAATGGCAAATTACTGTGAAGTGTTCTCCCAGTGAAATGAAAGCATTATCTGTGCCTGAATAGCACTGCTTACCCTTAGAAAATGTTTGGATGCTTAAACACATTTTTGTAAAGAATAAAGGGAATATTTGATATGATTTTAAACCTTAAACTCTGCTTTCGGGAAGTTGTGAAAAAGGTGCTACTTAATCACATGTACTTTGATGCTGCAGTAGCACGACTTGGCCGATCAATATCTGGGAGAATCCGGGTTGGGGCACCATGTTACCTGAGGAGAGGGGAAGGCAGGCTGTCCATTTGAGGAGAAAATCTTTCAGCCTTGAGCATGTCAGCTGTGATCAGGACAGGATAACACCGCTGCCTCAGGCCAGCTCCTTTGCTGAGGAGGATCAGGAAGCGTTTTGCCCCGAGGGTCTCTAAATAGCACTTCACACTGTTCCCAGCCCCGGAACGATTGTTCTTTTGACTCCCGGCACAAACCTCGTCGAGGAATGTCTAGGGAAAAGCAAACGGGCACCGAGTTCCATTTCCCCTTGCCTGAGGAAAAAACGACGGCTCCACCTCCCCGTCGGGGAATCGAACCCCGGTCTCCCGCGTGACAGGCGGGGATACTAACCACTATACTAACGAGGAACGGGATGTCCGGAATTTCCCTTGCGCCACCACGGCGTACTACCTCACGTGTCGCGGGTTCCTGAGCTGCGGGTGATGGCTGTCCCTGCCCCCGGGCGACGTGGGGACAGGTCCCGCGTCGGCTCAAGGTCGCTGTCCCCGCCTGATCGCCCTAGTCAAGCTTCCCGTCGGGGGCCACTGCGTTCACTTCCGTGTTACCATCCGCCACTAAAATAAAATTAAGTAATAGTCTGCTAAATCGGCCACCTCCTCACTTTCAAGGGAGAAAAGGAAATGGCCCGTACGGGGATCGAACCCGCGACCTTGGCGTTATTAGCACCACGCTCTAACCAACTGAGCTAACCGGCCTTCGTACACCCCCGCGGTGCGCGCACCTGAGCCGCTACTACAGATACGGCGCGGGTGGAATCGCTGCCGGGACCGGATCCGCGGCGCTACCACAACCGCTCTCGTTAAACTCCGCGGCGGCGGGTAATTCCAGGGAGCCGTGGCAGAGCAGCACGGGCATTAATCGGGGCGACGAGTGTTGCTAAAAAAAAAGGGGACTTCAAAACCTTTCGTTTTTCACTACTCTCTCCCTCCTCCAGTCCGCGGCCGCACCCCCTGCACGGACACGAACCTCCTGGCGCGGCGGAAGCCTCACCGAAAAAAGCCGCCTCCCTCCTTCCCTCCCTTACACGCCGCGGGACGGGGGCCGGAGGAGGCAGGAGCGGTCTCCAGGGATAAAAGACGACATCACCTCCCCGTCGGGGAATCGAACCCCGGTCTCCCGCGTGACAGGCGGGGATACTCACCACTATACTAACGAGGAGCGCGGTGGCAGATTGGGCCCTCCCAACACACCACAAGAACCACCTGCGGCACCCCGCATTTGTGGGACCCCTTCCTGTCCCCGGCGCTCCAAGGCCTTGCCTAAAATTGCAATAACGAATCACAAGGAGAATGCTGCACCAAGGAAGGACACGTGCATTTCCTAAACCTATGGGGAGCCCTGTTTTCTACTGTGGTGAAACCACCTGTTCTCAGAGGAAAGTGAACCCCTCCTCAGGTGGTAAGTCAATTGGACAACTTGTAAAATCAAGACATTAAATGAAAAACTGTAGAAAATACTTAGGAATCAAATACCTGTGAGTCAGTGAAAAAGTTGTAGAGGAAGAGGACATCGTGAAATTCCAAGCCCTTTCCTTCACAAACTGTCAGTACGAGTGCTAAGCTGAACTCGTCAAGTATCCTCTCCTTTGGCGTTTCATTTGCCACTAACACCACCTATCATAAAATACAATAATAAAAACCACCAGGAAGCCAAAAAGAAGGCAAGTGTCTGCATAGAGGAAGCATATATAAATGTATCGTGACAATGCAAGAGCTGCCTCAAAACCAGGCATCATTTAACACAGACATTCCCACCCTCTCCACAGAAAAGATCCCAAAGCTGCCACTACAACAACAACAACAAATATGTGGTATGAGGAGACAGTCATAG